CCCCCCCCCAGAAATGGCGCCATGTTACCAAGGCCCTTTCGCTGCTGGAGTTCCTCCTGAAGAACGGCCACCCGGCCACCATCGAGTGGACTAAGTCTGAGATCCACCAGCTGACAACCCTGCGTGAGGTGTGTTTGGGCCCTGGGGATGTCCCCCTGCGCTCTTCGCCAGTTGTGCCCCCCCCCCCCCCCTCCCTCCGGAATTGATGACTCACAACATGCCCCCTCCCCATCCAGTTCCAGTACATGGAGAATGGCCGCGACCGCGGCAGCTACATCCGCAAGAAGTCCATGGAGCTGGCCGCCCTGCTGAATGACGACCCGAAGATCCTGAACGAGGAGCGTGCTCGCTTGCGCGAGGTCAACAAGCGTACCGCCTCCAACACCAGCAGCCATGCCCGCGTATGTCCCCGCTCCCCCCCCCCCCCCCCCCCCAGGAACCCCTGCTTTCGCCCCCGCCCCCCCCCCCCCCCCACTCATCCAGGCGCCTCTCCCCCCCCCCCCCGCCCCCCCCCTGCCTTTCCGCCGGCTAGTCCATGTCGTCTCAGGGCAACACCGGAGCCGTGTCCTACGAGCGTCCGGCCAATGTCAGCGAGTCGGCCTACTTCTACAACAACGACCGCGACCTGCAGATGGCCCTCGAGGCCAGTCGTGAGTCCTACGAGCAGGAGCAGCGCAACCGTGCCAAGGAGGAGCATGATGTCCAGCGTGCCATCAGCGAGAGCCGCAAGGACATGTTCACCGGCGTGGTGCAGCCATCTGCCAGTGCGGCCAGCCTGGGTCAGGAATCCGCCACGCCGGTTTTCTCCTCGGAGCAGCAGCGCACCCGGCAGCAGCTTCACCAGCACTACCACGGGGCGGTGGCCGCCGACCCGACCCCGGCCCCGACTCTGGTCACGCAAATGGCCTCCGCCGGCGGGTCTGGCTTGCAGCCGCCGTCGGCCTCGGCACGTCGTCGGTCCCGGGCCAACAGCGTCACCGGGTCGCCGGTGTCCTCGTTGTCGGACCCGTTCAGCGGTGCGCCGGCCGGGCCGCCGCCGCCGGTCCCGGTTGATCCGTTTGCCCCCTCGGCCAATGACCCCTTCACCCCGCTCTCGGCAGACCCCTTCACTCCGGTGGCTCCGGTTGGTGGTGTGGCCGGCCTGTCGGATCCCTTTGGTGATCCGTTTGCCGCGCCGAGTGCCGGCTCCGGGGCCTCGGTGTCGGATCCCTTCGCCGCGCCGGGCGCCGTCACGGCGGCCAACTACCAGCAGCACCCGCAGTACCAGCAAGCCCTGCAGCAGCAGCAGCAGCAGGCTTCCGATCCCTTCTCGATGTCCTTTTCGCCGGTTGGCTCGGGCGCTCGTCAGCTGGCACCGCACGAGCGTGCCAGCGCCAACACCGCAGCCGCTGCTCTGGCCCAGGTGGCGCGTAATGCGTGCGTCCCCTATCCCCCTCTCCTTCTCTCTCTCTCTCTCTCTTTCTTCCTACCCCCATGTCTTCCTCCTTGTTGACTGGTCACTCATCATCCCCTCCGCTTTCCTCGACTGGGTTTCGTCCACTTCAGTCCCCAGATCGACCCGTTCGCCCGGCAGGCGACCGATCACTCGGTGCCGGCCTACCAGCAGCCTCGGCAGCAGACGGCCCCCCCGGCCTCGGTGGACCCCTTCGCCACGGCTTCTACTTCCTCGCAGCCGCCATCCTACGGACATAACGATCCCTTCGCGTCGCTGTACACCGGTGAGGTGATGCAGGCGACGCCGGTGTCCAGCAGCGGCGGCACCCCCGCGTCGCCAAAGGCCAGCTCCGGGCCTAGCCGGTCGAACGATCCGTTCGCCAGCATCGGGCCCGTTTTCTCATCAGTATGTTTGCCGCCTCTCTACTTTGGTTGCTCGTTTGTTTGTTTGTTTGTCCATTTGCCCGGTCCTCTTCTTCTTCTTCTTCTTCTTCTTCTTCTTTTTCCTCTCCTCTGCCTTTCCGCCCTCTTTCTTTCTCTTGCTTCCACACCCCTCAAGACCCCTCGCGCCGGGAGTGGACGCATCTGCCCGGATGGCGCCCGCCCTCCCGGCGCATCAATCGCAGGCCATCGGCTCTGACCCTCCCCGACCTCTCAACCGCAAGCAGAAGCCCGCCGAAGCCCCCACCTTCGACCGGTCTGGCCCCAAGTCGCCACCGGTGTCGATGAACACCCTTCGCGCGCAGCAGCAACACCAGATGATGAACCCCACCCCCGGGGGGGCGGGATTCTACCCGCCGAATTCGCCGAACTCCTCCCAGCCAGCCTCCTTCCTGCCGCAGCCCGGCATGGCTCAGGGGTCCTCCATGGGGCCTGGCCAGCTGGGTGGCTATCCGCCGCAGTATGGTGCCGCCTCTCACTACCAGCAGCAGGGCGTCGGCCAGCCGCGCCCCCAGTCCTCGGCGCCGGCCAACAACGATCCCTTCAGCTCGCTCCTGTAAGAGGAGGGGCCTCCATGCCGAAGGGATGCGTATGCCGGCACAACAGCCCCCCCCCCCCTCTCTCCCTGTCCCCCTTTCTCCTTGTGATATTAAGACACACGAGACGGGTGTATGCGTGTATCCTCCTTTTGCGCGTGTCTCGCCTCCCCCCTTCTTCTGCAAATATACCCCCCCCCCCCGCCTTCCCCCTTGCCTAGCTGCTCTCCCTCGTTTGCAGAAGCCCCGAGCGAAGGCCCGACGGACACCCCCCTCCCTGGTATTTACTCGGTGGGAATTCGTGTTGAGCTTCTTTCCGTGGGGCACATGCAAAGATGCGCACATATCCGGCGTCTCGGGTGCGGGTCCACGCCTCGGGCCTCCGCCTGGCGGGGCGCCACGCGATGCGCGCTCACGCCTGCTGGAGGTGCGCGACACTCTGTTCGTACGCCTGCCACGCGGCGGTCTGATGGAGCTTGGCCGCGGCAACGGGATCCGCCGCGCCGATGATGGCCCGGCCGACAATCACCACATCGGTCCCACGGTCCATGATGGCCCGGCGAGGGGTGACATACTGCTGGCCGAAGCTGTCGCCGGCGGCCGGCCGGGCGGTGGGGCTGTCCTCGCCGGCGAGCGACACCCCGGGCGACATGGTGATCACGTCGGCCGTATCCGGCAGCAAAGCCCCCCCGGCAATCAGCCCGGTAATGAGGGCCGGCTCACGCGCGGCCAGCTCCACGGCCAGCTCGGTGACGGGACCCGTGACGAGGGAGCCACTGTTCGAGGTGCATTCCCGTTGGACAATGTACACAGAGCATGTATGTGAGTGAGTGCGCGCGTGTGACGGCATGTCCCGGGCCACAGAGGCACGGAGGAAACACCCTCAAGGTGCACGTACGCGCTGCTCATCTCCGCCAGCAGGAGCAGGCCCCGGCCAAGGCGCTCGGCCGCCCCGCGCAGACCGTCCACCACCCCAGGACCGCTGACAACATGGGCGTTGGTGAAGTGCGACCACTCGGCGATGCGGTACATGCCGGCCTCGTATTGCAGGCGGGCGGTGTTGCCGATGTCGGCGAATTTCCGATCCTCGAAGATCAGCACATCGTGCTCCTCGGCGATGGCGGTCAACTCGGCGACAAAGTCCTGGCTGAAGTCGGCCACAATGTCCACATGGGTCTTGAACAGGCACACATACGGGGCCACCAGGCGAGCGGTGGACAAGATCTCCGCCGAATCGGTCATGTCCAGCGAGATGCACAAGTTCGTGCGCTTGCGGGAGATGATCTCTAGCAGCCGCCGGCCAGCGGGATTGGGACACCGTGCCGCGCGCTGCTCCAGGGTCAGCGTCCGGCGGTGGTGGTAACGATCATGGTCCGAGCTCATGGTTGACTGGAGAGGGAGGGAGGGAGGGAGAGGGGACGGCGGGTGCGTGGATGTGTGCCTGTACAGGCGCGCGCGAGCGGGGAAGGAGGAGAGGGAGGGGTGCAGGTCTGAGCCGGGCGCAGCGTCCCGGGCAGCGTCGGCAACAGGGCCACTGAATAATCTTCCGCCCAGCCCTCCCCGCCGACCACCAGGCCCCGGGACTCGCCCGTGCTCCTGGCTAGGCCCGGACATGGCAGGCTGGCACAGGTGGCGGGCGGCTCCGGGGGGGGGGAGGGGGGGGGGCAGGGGGCAGGGGGCGGCTCATCCGCCGGGCCTGAGCCGCTATTTTCCCCATCCTTCTTGTCGGTGCTGTGTTGTCCCGAGGCGATCCGTCGCCCCCGCGCGGACACCCGAAGGTCGGGGTGCCGCCTCCGGATGTGATCCCGTGAGGAGACCATGTGAACGCCTTGGCGGACCCTAGGATCAACCCCAGAGTGAACTTGGTCTTACTTGCGCACCGGGGAACGGGGGGGGGCAACAATTCCCGAACTTGTGCCTCCACGGGGGACAGAAGGGTCGTGTAGGGGCGTGGACGCATTCCACCAATCGGCTGGCAATGCTCTCTGTCCCAGCCGGTTCCCCTGTCTGGCGGTCGCCCGAGATGATGTGGGCGGCGTGTCGAGGAGTGTTATGTTATCCCACGTTTATTGGGACCGAGAGGGGGGGGGGGGGGGCGAGTGCGGGATGCGCCAGAGGCCCCCACCCCTTCCTCGAATCCAGGGGAGGGAGTCGTCTGGCCGCTGGCCGCTGGGACCGCCCTTCCAGGGGTGCTGGTGGGAGGGGGGGGGGGATCCTTCCGGCAATCTGACCCGCCCTTTTTCCGGGGTTCGGGCGCTGCCGCTGTTGTCGCCGGCTGCCCCGTTCGCCGGTCCGTGGGGAGCACCATCGGCCCGCCGAGGGAGCAATTCCCGGACCGAGAGGGGGGGGGGGGAGCGCAGGGACACCGGCGAGCGAGTCATTGCCGAGCAGTCCTTCGGTTTCTCACCCTTCCAGCGACCTGTTCGGCGGGCGTTCCGCCAATGTGCGAGGGGGAGGCAGGGGGGGGGGGCGGGGGGTGGCTTGGCCTGGCCCAGTGCGCGCATGCGCGTGCCCCGCATTTTGAGCCGGCCCAGATTCAGGGGGCGATCCGGGCCTGGGTATGCGCGCATGCGTCGAGGGCTCGCTCGTTCTCCGGGCAGGGCGGGGTGGAACGGGGCATTTTCCACGGGCGGTTGTTATTTTTTCCATGCGCCCCCCTTGGGGGATGCGGGCAGAGGTGTTTGTGTGACTGTGCCGCCGTCCGCTCTTTCGCTTTTTCGTTTGGCCTCCCTTCCCGGTCTCTCTCTCTCTCCCCCTCGGGTTTACGGCCCCTGCCACGGCTCCTGCTCATCGGAGGAGGAGGGCATGCCAGCCGAAGTCCGGAACAGCAAACAGAACTGAGCCAGCAAAGCATATCCCGCCCGCCCGCCCGCGCGTTTATACGCACGTTCGGGCCTACCTCCTTGACCTGCCGCTCCCCCTCCCCCTCCCCCCCCCCCGCTCCCGGTTCCCAGGGCGGCCAAAAAAAGAGGGGCACCCCCTGACACCCGGCCGCCAGGGCACAGGACACACCTTTTCTCCCCTCCTCCCTCTTCCCCGGCCCTCGCGCCCCCTCCCTCCCCTCCCCCTCTCGCACTCTTCTCCCTCCCTTTTCCCCTTTCCCCATTTCTCTCTTTCTCTTGCGCCCCCCCCCTCTCTCTCTCCCCCTCCCCCCTCTCGCGCCCTCTCAGCCACCATGCTGATCAATGTCCGCTCCGGCGATGAGCGCATCCAGTACTCCCTGGACCAGAATATGATGGAGCTCGGCTGGATCATCGACAACCTCCAGCCGAAGTTCCAGCAGCTGGACCCGAAGTACAAGGCCTCCGACTATGTGCTAGCCGTGCAGCAGGCCGTCACCCCGGCCAGCATGGACCCCTCGGACACGCCGGCCCCGAGCAGCACCGCGCGCCGGGTCCCGGTCGAGTATCTTACCAACCAGAACTTGCAGATGCATCTGCGCGAGGGCGTGGAGCTGCTGCTGCTGGTGTCGCCCACGGTGCAGGCCATCGAGGCCATTGCCGGCCTGTCGGACAGCGACTCCAAGCGCATTGTCTTCGGTCTGCGGCAGAAGTTCGAGGATCCCCTCTTCACCCAGGGGTTTGTGGCCAACGACGGTGTGCCGGTTCTGCTGAACATCATCCGCGAGTCGGTCCGCAATTCGCTGGCCTACGCCCTGGAGTCTTTCCTGGCCCTGATCCGCAACACCGATCAGGGCTGGGATGCGATCCCCTATGAGATCATCCTGAACGTGGTGCGTACATGTCCATCCCCCCCCCCCCCTCTCCCCCTGCCCTCCGACCGTTCGTCGGCGCCACCTCTTGCCCCTGTCGGCTTGTGCCCATTTGCTGACCCCCCCCCCCCGGCCATGCCACATCATCTTCATCCCTCCTCCCTCCTCTTCCCCGAAGCTTGTGCCCGCCGTGGCCGCCACCCAAGTGAACATTTGCCGGCCGGCGCTGGCCATCGCCATCAAGATGGTCCAGTCGCCGCACTATGGCTTCCAGCTGTTCCACAAGGCCCTTAAGGACTCCCCCCAGAAGGCCTACCAGGCCCTGGTGGATCGCATTTCCGAGCGCACCGAGACCGATTCCGAGACTCGCCGGAATGCCCTCATCCTGATGAATGAGTTGCACTCGGCGGCCGACGGCGATGAGCTTAGCGAGTTCGGCGAGGTCCTGCAGGAACATGACTTCAGCAAGATCATCCTCGTACGCGCCACCTCCACACATACCCCCCGAGTGTCCCGCTTGCAGGCCGACCATCCTCCGTTGGACTTCCCCCCCCCCCTCCCTCCCTTCTCGCATCCTCCGCTCCCTTCTCGCATCCTTCGCTCCCTTACTGACCCCTCCTCTGCCCTCCCCCCTCCTCCAGGCCATTTTCGAGCAGTCCCAGTCGGAGTACCTGACCAGCGAGCTGCTCCGTTACCAGTCCAACATTTACCGTGACATTGTCCGGTGCGTTATCCCGGCGGATCGTCTCATTGGACTCGGCTCATGCTCTCATCCATCACTCTGACCCTCGCCCTGCTACATGCCTCATTCGCAGTCGACGCAACACCCAGATCAACAAGAACAATCCCCAGCATAGCAACATCCTCAGTAATGTGCGCCGCACCCCCCCGCCCACTTGCCCTCTTTGTCTATTCCGTGCTTTCTCCCTCTCTCTCCCCCTCTTTCTCACTCACTCACTCTCTCCCCCCCTCCCCCCCTCTCTCCCACCCTCTCCCAATCACCGTTCCCGCTTTCCGGCCCCGCGTCCTAGCTTCTGATGGGTGCCGATATCCACTACAACCAGGTGCAGCAGCTTGGCTTCGCCACCGACGACCTGCCGAGCGAGCTCCAGCCGGTCGGCCTGCTGGGCCTCCAGTGCATGGTGCATTTCTCCCGCACACACAAGGAGTACCTTACCAAGTTCATTTCCGAGCAGGCGGCCCGCACGGATGGTCGCCGTTGCGGCTTCGGGCCGGCCAGTGTCGAGGTGGTCAAGGCCCTGGTGGAGAACTTCCAGAGTGCTGCCGAGCCCAGTGCGTCGTCGTCCTCGCCCTCTGCCTCCCTCTCTTTCGCCCTATGTGCCGCTCTTTCTCCATTCCGCACCGTCTGACCCCCACGTTCATCATCCGCCCGGTTGCTCAGACGCCTCAAAGGAGCCGGCTCTCCTGGTCTTCGAGGACGTGTACATCTGGGCCATGCAGCTCTTCCTGAACCTCTGGGGATACATGCAGGCCAATGAGGCTGACATTGTACGCTGACTCCGCCATTGCACTTATCGTCGTCAGGCTGGCCTTATGCGAAAGATCGTCTGCTGACCTGCTCCCCATCCCCCCTCCTGCTTCCCCGTCCCTTGCGACATACCAGCCCAAGGTTGTGCAGCTTGTCCAGACTCAGCTGGAGTACATGCGCACCGTGGCTTGGAGTACTGTCGACCACTATCGCTTCCAGCTGGTGAACGCCTCTTTCAAGGAGGTCCAGCAGCGCCAGCTTCAGAACATGGAAGCCGGGCGCGACCTGCTCCTGAAGCCCACTTGTCGGTGCGTGTGCCGCGGTGTTTGCTTCCCGGGCCTCCTGCCGTTTTCCCTGTGGGCCACCATCACCCCTGCATCCTTCCCTCCTCCTGTCATGGCTTTTCCGCCTCGGTCGTGGCAACTTACCGGTGGCCCTCTCCTTTCCGTCCCCCGCCCCCCTACCCCCCTGCCTGGCCTGCCAACCGCCACTCAGCTCCCTGCGTGACAAGATCCACAAGGAGGTGGGCGACTTCGTGCGCAACCAGCGCCTCCAGTGCATGATGAACGGGTCCTGGTTCCCGGTGTTCGCTCCGCGCGGGGGGCGTCAGCGCAATGCCTTCCGCTTCTTCCGGCTGTCGCCCAACCGCCGATTCCTGCACTATGAGGACTTCTCCGAGATCCTGGACTCGCCGCCCGAGCTGCCGAACCTGCCGAAGCGCGTGGACCTGTCGGACGCCACCGACCTGGCGCTGTACTCGGCGTCGCCGCTGTTTGCGCGGAACCGCGGTCGCGTGGACGACGAGCCGGTTGACTGGATGAAGTGGACCTTCTCGGTCATGGGCCAGGAGGAGGGCGTGTCCCTGGTGGACTTTGTGGCCGAGAGCCAGAGCCAATTTTCCGAGTGGACCGATGGCTTCCGCATTCTCCTGGGCCGGACGATCAGCTCCGCCTCCGGGCAGATCAAGGAGACCGATGACTTTATCAACACCCTGCTGGACTATGAGCTGCAGCTCCGCCTGCTGGAGATTCGCCTGGGTCAGGTGAACATCCCCAATGAGGCGCCCCTGCGGCCACCGCCCCCTCCCTCGCTGGCTTTCCTGCCCTCGCCGCACGACAATGCGTGGGCCCTCTGAATCGGGGGAGCAGCCTGCAGGGGCCGACCAAGATGGCCGAAGGGCCGAGGGGAATGCGGCCCCATGGACATACACACACACACACACACAGGAGGAGGGGTCACTCGTCCGCACGGAGCAAGGCGGTGTCGCGAAAGTGCTTCACATCGGCCAGCATCCGCCAGCCGGATCCTCCCGGTGCCCCTCCCCGTGATGACACACATACGGCTGTGCCGCTACGTGTGTCCTCATTCACCATTGCTTCCCCATGCCCCGACGGGTGTGTCTCACCAAGCATCCCACATTTTTTTGCCCGCATATATCCCTCTCCTCCCTTCCTCCCTCCCTCTCTCTCTCTCCCTCTCTCTTTCCCGACCGCCTGACCGCCTCTTGCCAAGAGACGCCGGCGGCGAGAATGTACCCTATATCCTTATCCCCCCTTGGTGTTATTGCTGCTACTGCTTGCCTGCCTGTGTGCCTTCGCGTTCTTCCCTCTGAGCGGGTGTCTGGTCAAAGGCCGGGCGAGGATGCCGCGTCCCCGCTCCCCGGGGGCCGATCGTCGGGGCGCGATCCGTTGGTACTTCAATCCAGCGTCCTGGCTGAAGGGCGGCCACCTCGTCGCCACAGGGGGCGATCGTGCTCCCGGCCCACGCACTATACCCCTCTTTAATTGGTGGCCTGCTCCTGTTCCGCCGCCCCGTCTTTTTTTTTTTCCCTCCACTGCCTCGAATCCGCCCGCTCGCCTGAGCCCGCGCCTCCGCCATGGCCTTTTTCGACACACATTGCCACTTCACCGAGGATCTCCTTGGACACCCGGCGTCCAAGGCCACGGCCTCCGTGGCCAACCGCTGTTGCCCCGGGCACATGAGCTTGCCCGCCGGCTGTCCCGAGGCCGGGCAGCCGGGCGACCCGTCGGCGCGGCCATCCGCCGCTTCGGCGGCTCTGGCCACGCTGGCGGAGTCCATCGTGTCCGACATGTGCCTGATGAGCTGCTCGGTGTTGGATTGGGATCGGGTGGCCGAAGCCGCCGACCTGGTGAGCGCCCAGGCTTCCGGCCCGCGGGCCGTGCCCTTCTTCGGGGTGCATCCGTGGTATGTACTCGAGAGCCTGGGCATGGACTACCAGTGGCTGGCGCCGGCGATCGGCACGGGCACTTCCGCTAGACAACCCCTCTTCCCGGTGGCCGCAGTGGACCTGGAATTGGAGGCCACCGCGCCGGGCGCCTGGGCTTCGCCGCATGCCCTGCCCCAGCTGGCCGGACTTGGCCCGGTCGCCGACATGGCGGACCTCATTCGCCGGGAGAGTATGTTCGCCATCCATGTCCTCGCCTTGGCTGTCCAGATACCGTGTCCCTGATCCTGCCTCCTCCCCTTGCCCCTTTCCCCTCCTTCACCATGTGCCTGCCGACAGATACGGTCCTCCGGAGCCTGGCCCAGCGGCTGGAGGCTTGCCCCGGGGCTGGGGTCGGCGAGATCGGCCTCGATCACTTCCGTTTGCAATTCCTGCGCGATTCACAGAAGCACGAGCCGGAGCTGGGCAAGCTGACCGAGCTGTCAGACGACGCGGCCGCCTTTGTGGCGGCCATCCAGCGGCGCCTTTTTGCCCGCCAACTCGCCCTGGCGGCCCATGTGCGTTGCCGATGCGCACATTATCGCCCTTCCTTCAGTTGGCTTCCCTGGCGCTCGCCGCGCTTGACCCTCGCGCCGTGCTGTCTGACTGACCGCCAGTTTGCCAGCTCCATCGCCCAGTGTCCGTTCATTGTGTCCGCGCACAGCAGGCCCTGCAGGAGGTCCTGCTCGGGGCCCCGGACCACGCTCTGCCGCCGGGGATCATCCTCCACGCGTTCAGCGGCACAGCGCAAGATGCGCGGATCCTCTTCCAGGATGCTCGGCTGGCCGGGCGCCTTGGCCTGTCGGTGGCCTTCTGCATCAACGGCAATCGCTTCGACCCGGAGAGAACCAAGCGCATTCGCGCGGAGGCCGCTGCCGCCGGGGTTGACCCTCTGCAGCACGAGCTGGCCTTCTTCCGCCGGGCAATTGAGCGTCACCTTCGTCCGGGCCCCGAAGAGCACCAGCCGACGGATGAGGATCTCCCGGAGCCGGGGTGGCTGCCGCGCAAGCTGCGCCAGGTGCTGGCCGCGGTCCCAACGTCGGCCCTCCTGGTCGAAACAGATAGCTATCTGCTGGGTATGCCGGCACTCCCCTTCCGAGGCTTTGACCCCCCCCCCGGCGCGCGGCTGGGTCCCGGCGCGACAGGGCGCACAGCGGACGTGATGCTGGGGGGCGCGGAGGGCGCGCGGCAGGCGCGAGAGAGGGGAGACACACCAGGCACGCGGTGGCCGGTGCGCGGAGAAGAGGCTGGCCACTCGCGACCGGCGCATGGGAGCACTGGCTCCCCCCCCCCCCCCCCCCCCCCCCCCCCCCCCGCCCCCTCGCCCTTGCCCTCGATTGTGTGTATGGCTGACGAAAAAAGCACCCCCTTCTCCCGACAGAGACACTTGCATATGAGCCGGTCATCCTCGCACGGCTGCTGGCGAAGGCCCTCGGCCCTGGGGACTGGGCCGACCCGGAGTTTGTCCTCCGCACCACGGCCGCCAATGCGCGCCGACTGCTGGAGCCCATCCTGGCAGCGGGGCGGCCGGCTGCCCAAAAATAGCGACCCCTCCTTTCTCCCTCCTGGACCAGAGAAATGCATATCCATGTATACACGCACACACACACACACACACACACTCACGAATGGGGGTTGTATTCTTGCTCTCCGTGTACACTCACACGCACGGACGAGGTCCCTTAGTAGTCGTCACCACGGGAGATGATCTCCTTGCAGGTGGGGCGCAGGAGGATGGTGTGCTCGGACTGGGCGGTCAGGGAACCACGAGACTCCACAAGCGGCGGGTAGGCCTCAATGGCACCGGTCTGCGCCAGTGACCGGAGGGTGCCGGCGAAGTTCTCCTCACCAATGCGCTCCAGGTAACGGTTGCAGAAGGCCAGCGAGCCGAAGTTCATGTCAATGGTGTTCATGAGCTGCGCAGCGCGCGGGACGCGGATGTTGTTGCGCAGGGACATGTGCGGCGAGCGCATCCAGTGGGACACCTCGGAGTCCTCGACGACGTAGCCGCGACCGGTGGAGCCGAACGTCTCGATGGCATAGAACTCGCCCTCCTACAGGAGCAGGTGAGGGAAAGAGAGAGAGCGCGCACACACACACGGGGGAAGCAAGGGGAGGGGGGGGGGGGCGAAGGCGGGCCGGTGTCAGGGATTCGAGGAGAAAAGACGGAAAAAAGACCCGGAAAAAGAGGGGGGGGGGAGAGCAGGGAGGCCGACAGGCAGACGGGCATGTGTGGGGGAGGAGCTCAAGTATGCACGAAGACCAGGGCCCGAGGGCATTTGGTGCGCCCGGGGCACGCACCTCCATGCGGGTGTGATCGCCACCCTTGACAATGGGGACCGTCTTGCCGGCGTGGATCTGGTAGCTCTCGATGGAGTGCCCGTTGAGGTTGCGGATGGGCTTGACCGGGTACACCTTGTTGCCGATGGTCACCTCGTAGGACTCCATGACCTCCTGGATGGCGGCGCCGATGTCGCACATGCGCACGTCGATGCCGGCCTCGCGGATACCGGCGTTGGTGGCCTCGCGACAGGCGGTGATCAGCGGGTCGTGCGTCGGGTCGAAGGACAGGGTGAAGGCCGAGTCAATGATGCGACCGTTGACGTGGGTGCCGAAGTCGATCTTGACAATGTCGGTCTCCTTGAGGATGGTCTTGTCGCCAGGGTTCGGGGTCCAGTGGGCGGCCACATGGTTGAGGGACAGGCCGGTGGGGAAGGCGATGCCGGCCTTGAAGCCGTCGGCCTCGATCAGCCGGCGGACGTTGTTCTCCACCATGTTGGCGATGTCGACCATGGCCATGCCAGGGCGAGTGTTCGCGCGCACATGCTTCCGCACCTGGCGGTGGACCTCGGCCGCCCGGCGCACGTCGTTGTAGATGTTGGCCTCGAGACGCTCCTTCTCGCGCATCTCCTCGGAGGTGATGCGCTGGGTGGTGCTGCAGGTAGGCGCGCAGGGGGTGGGGTGGGGTGGGGGGAGGGGGGGGGGGGGGGGGGGTGAGCCAGAGCGAAGGCGGAGGACCAGAGAGTATCCACACACACACACACACACATGGACAAAGACGTACTCGTTCGCATACTCAACCTCCTCGCCGACGGGGTAGACCTCCTTGAACTGCTCGGAGACAGTCGGGACATCCAGCTTGAA